AAGCAGATCTGTATATATCTGCTTTGAAAGATCTTAAAAATGTAACTGGATAAAAAAAGCAATACTGTATTTTGGGTATGGATAGCTTTTTTTTTTTTCTAATGGAGGGGACTGATTGACTCATTGAGTTGAAGACAGAGTGAGGTAGAATTTAAAAACTTGAAAGAATGGAAATCAAATGACTTATGTTTTCATACCGTCATATGGAATTGAAGTAAAAATCCAGACCATAAAGACAGCTGGAAGATCTGGAGGTGAAACAACATCCTTCTAAATAACACACGAATCAAAAAAGTCTCAAGCGAAACGAAAAAAATATTTTGAGGGGCGCCTGGGTGGCTCAGTCGGTTGAGCATCTGACTTCGGCTCACATCATGATCTCGTGGTTTGTGAGTTCGAGCCCCGCGTCGGGCTCTGTGCTGACAGCTCAGAGCCCGGAGCCTGCTTCGGATTCTGCGTCTCCCTCTCTCTCTGCCCCTTCCCTGCTCACGCTCTGTCTCTCTCTCTCTCTCAAAAATAAACATTAAAAAATATCTATTTTGAACCAAATAAAAATGAATATATAACATCAAAGTCTGTGGAATACAGCAAAAGCAATTCTTAGAGGGGAATTTACAGCATTAAATGCAAATATTTAGAAAAGAAAAGCTAAGATTAAAAATCTAAGCTTCCACTTCAGGAAACTAGAGAAAGAAAAGCAACATAAGCTGACAGCCAGCAGAAGAAAAAAAACCCTAAAAAATGACAGCACAAATCAGTGAAAAATGGAAAGAGGAAAACAGTAGAGAAAAATCAACAAAACCAAAAGCTGCCTTTTCAAAAAGATCATTAACGTGATGAACCTCTAGCCAGACACACCAAGACAAAAAGAGAGAAGACACAAATCATCAATATCAGAATGACAGAAGGGTCATCACTACTGATCCCATAGACATCCGAGGAAAAGAAAGGAATAGTATGAAGATCTCTATGGCCACACATTTTATAGCTTAGATGAAATGAACCAATGCCCTGAAAGACACAAGCTACCAAAACTCAAACACATGTGGCCTGTAGTGATAGAAAATAATACAAACGCAAGATGGTTTCCAACCGCAGCTCAAAGGAGGCACATCAGCTAAGGGGGAAGAAAAGATGGTTAACACAACGTGATCAGCAGTGGGTGCTGCACAAAGAGCCAGCAGGGAAGTGATATCTTTTACTCTAATGTCTATTTATTTTGAGAGCGAGAGCACACATGAACAGGGGAGGGGAGAGGGAGAGCACCCCAAGCATGAGGCACACCGCCAGGGCAGAGTCCAGCAGCACGAACTCAGAGTCCGACACTTAACGGACTGAGCCCCCCAGGTGCCCCTAAAGATTTTATTTCTAAGTAATCTCTACACCAATGCCAAGCTCAAACTCACAACCCCGAGTTCAAGAGTTGCACGCTCCACCGACTGAGCCAGCCAGGCGCCCTGGAAATGATATCTAAACGTTGTTTAGGGGCGCCTGGGTGGCTCAGTTGGTTAAGCATTCCACTCTGATTTCGGCTCAGGTCATGATTGCCCGGGGTTCGCCCCGACCCTGCGCTGACAGGGTGGAGCCTGCTTGGGGTTCTCCCTTCCCCTCTCTCTTTGCCCCTCCCCAGCAGGCATGCATGCACTCTCTCTCTCCCCAAATAAACAATCCTTAAAAAAATAATAAAAAATAAAATAGTCGTGGAGGAACACGTCCACCAGGACCTCTCAGAGCCACCTCAGAATCAACAAGTCCACAGCTGTTACGGACTGAATTACCGCCCCCCCCCCCCCCC